TTAATTCAATAAAAATGACATTAAGTAATAAACAATAATGAATCTTTTGTACATACGAGAAATGACGCTGTTTACATGATTATGCACGTCGTCTGCAAGTTGGCGGGCCGTTCAAACCCGTCGAAATTCAAGTTTCCGCCGTCAAAATTTTTATTTATTTATTTTTTTGTGTGTTCCAATAAAATACGTTAAGAATTAAAAACTCGCGAAATTTGAGAAGCTACTATACGACATTTAACCCTTCAATGTGTCTTCAAAGAGACCATGATGCAGAGAAAGTGGTGCTAGTGCTTCCAGGCATAAGCACAAGTCACTATCTATCCAGGAAAAGGGTGAATTTCCATGGTCCGGCAATTTCCATGGTCTGGCACCGGTCAGGTCCCGAGGTTGCCGGACTAGAGAGGTACAACCTGTATTTTATTATTACAGTATTTTTGTTATTATTATTAATTTTATTATTATTATTTTATTATTATTATTATTACATATTGTTATCATTCTTATTTTATTTTTGTGTATTTTTTATTTCAATTTCAATTTCAATTGTTTATTCCTTGCTAGAGGAAGCGGAATCCTAGTGCTGTCACTTGGTACCCCTGTACAATAACACCAGAAGCATCTGGCAAGTGTGACAAGTATATACATTATAAATATTATAAAGGGGCTTACTAGGGGGAACGCGCATGGGGAGGATTATCGTGTCTCCATCAGGGGGTCATGGAGTGGTGGTCCAGCAGGCGTCACGGAAGCGTTGTGTGTGGGGACATCTTAGGAGGTAGTGGATAAGGGTGCGGCTGTCGGGTCTTCTGCATAATGCACAAGAGCGTTGCTCAGGGGACGCGGGGATACCAATCTCCCAAGCAAAGTCATACCCAATGATGATACGGGCAGCAATCACGTCCCCTTTCCGTGACCCTTTCCCATAGACGTACGAGAGGTTAGGAAGATTACGGAGGACATCGTACCAGGTGGGCGGGGAGTCCAGGGGGATGGTTGCTTCCCGAGCTTCTCTCTGTTTGCGTCTATTTTGTATTAAAATTTTTATTTACTATGAATAATTATTATTATTATTTTTAATATAATTATTGTTGCTATTACATTTTTGCCCCCCAGGCCCCGATGTGGGCCAGTGACCTGTGCCCGGGTGTGCTAATACCTGTAAAAAAAAAAAATAATAATAATAAAAAAATTGGTTTTCAGAGCTTTTCGGTTTTTGGAATTTCGGATAAAGGTTGTCAACCTGTACTATAATTTCAAGGTTCCGTAAGGGTGAATTTCCATAACCCTGGATTCCCTAATGCGGGGCTGCCTGTTTATCGTGCTGCTACACATCGACGCATCGGAAATCTGTGCAAGTGATGCTCTTTAACATATGTTAAAATCGCTATATTGTACTGGACTCACTAGACCTTTACTTTAAAAGAACTTGGGGTAACCAACTTTACCTTCCCAAAATGATACATAATGTCATAAACTGCATCTATATTATGAAATAAACATTTAAAGAAAGCCCAGGAAGTTAATTTTGCAATACAGGTTGTACCTCTCTAGTCCGGCAACCTCGGGACCTGACCGGTGCCGGACCATGGAAATTCACCCTTTTCCTGGATAGATAGTGACTTGTGCTTATGCCTGGAAGCACTAGCACCACTTTCTCTTCGTCATGGTCTCTTTGAAGACATATTGAAGGGTTAAATGTCGTATAGTAGCTTCTCAAATTTCGCGAGTTTTTAATTCTTAACGTATTTTATTGGAACACACAAAAAAATAAATAAATAAAAATTTTGACGGCGGAAACTTGAATTTCGACGGGTTTGAACGGCCCGCCAACGTGCAGACGACGTGCATAATCGTGTAAACAGCGTCATTTCTCTTATGTACAAAAGATTCATTATTGTTTATTACTGAATGTCTTTTTTATTGAATTAATGTTTATGTGTGCAAAATGAGCAATACAATTCATTAATAATACGTAGAATATTAAAACACACGAGGAAATGACACAGCATTGTTTTCGTTGATTACAAAACCAGTGACTGACTGGTTCTTCATATAAAACTGAAGAAAATAAGACCTTGGTTGTAGCTGTAGTAAAATTAATATGGTTGTTTTAAGTAATGTTATTTAATGTTAATAAATGGAACAATAGAAGTAGCTAACGATAATGGTAAAGAAAAAGAGAGATCGCATATGTAAGTGCGCATGCGCACACGTGAAAACATATCGGCATTACTTTACATAAGAATATGAAAGCAACACTTATTTACTGTTCATATATATTTTAATTAATGTTTCTGAATTTGTTTTTATTGAATTAATGTACGTGTGTGCAAAATTAACAATACAATTTATTAATAATACAGTGACCCCTCGGTTAACGAACTCAATCCGTTCCAGAAGGTCGTTCGTTAACCGAAAAGTTAGTTAACCGAAACCATTGTTTCAATGGGTTTTTGGGTAATTGGTTCCAGCTCACCGAAAATTTCCTAAATTCAACAAAAATGGTAGAAAAGTTCACTTACTTTGAGGTGTGTTTGTAGAAGGCTCCTGGATGATGATGATGATGATGATGATGATGATGATGGGATTTAGAATGGGGGTGGAGGAGAAGGAAGAAGAGAAGGCATTGGGGTGGAAGAGAAGTCACCCCATGGCGCCATTTCACCCATAAAATTTTAGCTCTCTTGGTGTAATTCAAGATTATTTTCTTTAAATCAACACTGCACTGCATTATATATTGTCAATATGTCAAATAAATTTCAAAATGACCAATAATTTGCTTGGAAACACAGAAAAAAAGTGTTTAGTTGAAGAGAGTATCAAGCAAGATGTTACCTCCAGTGAAAACAGAGAGAGACTAACGCCTGTTTGCTGTGTTAAGAGGCTGGATGCCGCGCATTAAACTAGTCACTTTACCTTCAATTATGTTCAATAATCGTTAAAATGACTAAAAAATTGAATATTAAACTTTTAAAATTATTGAATAGTATAAACTTCTTGATATTTACTCAAATAGTAAGGAATTTAAGCCCTAGAACCGATTAATGTATTGGCGGACTGATACTAAAGCTGGTTGCCCGGTCAGTGCAAGCGAAAACATGTTGAGGTCGGTTCGTAAGAAATTCGTTAACCGAATTTTTGTTCGTTAACCGAATTGAAGATCCTTATGGAAGGCAGTTCGTTAACCGAAATTTCGTTAACCGAGGCGTTTGTTAAACGAGGGGTCACTGTACGTGGAATATTAGAGGAGACGAGACGGCTGCCGGCATTGTTTATGTTAAAGCTTACGAAACCAGTGACTGATTGGTTCTACATATAAAACTGAAGAAAATAAGACCCTGAGTTTAGCTGTAGTAAAATTAATGTAAAAAATGAATTTGGTTGCTTGAAGTACCTGTAATGTTATTTAATGTTAATAAATGGAACAATATAAGTAGCTAACCATTAATGGTAAAAAAAAAAGTGAGACTGCTCGTATGTAAGTGCGCACATGTGAAAATATATCGTCATTACTCTACATAAGAATATGAAAGCAACACTTATTTACTGCTCATATATATTGAAGGGTTAAATGTTGTACTCTGTATAGACAAGCAGAGAGAGAGAGAGCAGCCGAACTGCCGGATGTAAACAAACCTTAATTTCCCGCGCTTTTTTTTTTTTTTAAGGGGATTAGCCCACCCGGGCATAGGTCACTGACCCACATTGGGGCCTGAGGGGCAAAAATTTAATACTCCTGTAATAATAATAATAATTCAGATAAGTAAAAAAAAAAAACTGCCTATCTACCTATTGGACAAACTAAAATCGTTCCGGACCACGGTAGTTTCCGGACCACAGAATGCCGGACTAGAGAGGTACAACCTGTACTCCTATGGTCTTCACCTAATGGTGGAAGTGTGAGAAGCTCTGGGAAACGATGGGGTCCCAGGCAGGGGGTGAAGGCTTATCGGATTCAAAGCCTTCAAAATCAACTGTAGACACTTGTAAAGTAACTTCAGCTTCTTCAACTGTCTCCAGAGTGGGAGGTCATCATCACTGGATTTTCCTTGAATTGTTGAATCATAAAATAGGAGGTGATGAGAGCTTGGCAGCAGTGTTTAAACTCCTGATAACGTTGCCTGTAGGGTTTCACCAAGCTGTCTAGCTGCGCACTGTGTTCGTCACTGTTGCAGGCTGGGTTCAGCATTCATTAAAGTATCCTTGAGTTTTTTAACACTGCTGAGAACTTATGTCTCCTGAAGCTGACTCACGTATCCCCTCAGTCTGTTCTGGTACTGCCACACCAACAGCACTGATTTAGCTTGTCATTTTATTTTGAAGTTAAATTATATATCGTATTTTATTCTGTTATTTAATACTGTATGTTGTATTATTTATGATGAAACATACATCATAGTAGGCTGATCATAAGATCATACAAGAATATAATTATGAATAAATAAAAACACTGGTGAATGAGGCAGCAGCCAGGCACATACACTTGGTTACAAAGGGAAAAGGACAAGTTGCCCATGTCTCTATTTTCTTTTTATTTCTTTACGTGATTTCTCTTACCTTATCTCTTGTTCTTATTTACTTAAACAATTATGGAAGGTGTAGATAAGAGGTAGTAGGCAGCTACCAAACAGGGAGGTACTACTGCCTGGGAAGGGGGAGTTGCTACAGTCAACACCCCCCCCCCCACCCCCAAGCGTGTGGGTTAACCGTAGTCGCAGTTACCTGATGACAAATGTTGGATAAAACCAGAACAGGATACCCCACCCCAGCACAAAAAGTGCATTAGTAAAGTAAAAAAAAAAAAAAAGTTAGACAAACAGCATTATTATAATTTAAAAATTCCAAAATATAAACAGGTTGAATTATTCTGCACTTACAGCACTTCATTTCTCACTTCAGTTACTTTATTTTTTGTATATGATACAGTGGCTGTATAAAAGTCAATCCTTAATGGTTTATGTATGAATTGTATTTTTAGGATCAAACCTCCATTTTTACAGTTTGACGCATGATATAGAGGCTGTGAGCTGTGATGAAATGTTTGTTGACTTGACAGAGCTCCTTCATACCTGCCAGGTGACTCCTGAGGACTTTGCCACTTTTCTTCGAGAGAAAGTACAGGTAAAGAATCATATAAGTTGTAGAGCATTTCCTGACTGGACACCCTTCACTTAGACTACTAGGGCTTGCCAGGGTTGATCTATTAAATATTATCTAAAAGAATAACTTTTCTTCCTCTCCTGCACATCCCTTATCAAAAGAGGGGTTTATAATGGTGTCATGGGAGAAGGTTGCAAGTCTGCTTTGGACCATTAGTCTCGTAGTGAAAGTGGACATTTGATCTGAACCTCGAAGTGTTTGATAAAGTTTTTTCTCTTTGGATTATATTCTTCTATTAGTTCCCAGTGAACAGTTCCAGGTGGGTGTGGAATTCTCACCCTTGGGCAATTTTAATAATTCAAGATGACTGCCATCACCCTTTTAAGGAATCTCATTTGTCATGCCATCACCCCTTTAAAGAAGCTCATTTGTCATGCCATCACCCCTTTAAGGAAGCTCATTTGTCATGCCATCACCCTTTTAAGGAAGGAAGCTCATTTGTCCTATTTCTCTGATTCTGTTGATTATTTTAGTATGACAATGCTGTTTATTATACTTAATGACATTTTATATGTTGCATTGTTAAGATTATTCAAATATTTTATGATCTATATTGTTCAAAACACACATGGAGTTAAATTTTGCTAGCTCAGCAACTAGATAATGTATATATGATTTGTGTTCTTTACTCCACAGTATTGTCATGATTAATAACTAGATAGTAACTCCAATATACTAAAACATCACAACATTATTCCTATTATGCTGATTGTGCACCAGTTGTGGTCAAAGAAATACTTCATAATTTTGGTAATACAGTGACCCCTCATTTAACGAACGCCTTGGTTAACGAAATTTCGGTTAATGAACTGCCTTCCATAAGGATCTTCAATTCGGTTAACTAACAAAAATTCGGTTAACGAATTTCTTACGAACCGACCTCAACATGTTTTCGCTTGCACTGACCGGGCAACCAGCTTTAGTTTCAGTCCGCCAATACATTAATCGTTCTAGGGCTTAAATTCCTTACTATTTTAGTAAATATCATGAAGTTTATACTATTCAATAATTTTAAAAGTTTAATATTCAATTTTTTAGTCATTTTAACAATTATTGAACATAATTGAAGGTAAAGTGACTAGTTTAATGCGCGGCATCCAGCCTCTTAACACAGCAAACAGGCGTTAGTCTCTCTCTGTTTTCACTGGAGGTAACATCTTGCTTGAGACTCTCTTCGACTAAACGCTTTTTTCTGTGTTTCCAAGCAAATTATTGGTCATTTTGAAATATATTTTACATATTGACAATATAAATGCAGTGCAGCGTTGATTTGAAGAAAATAATCTTGAAATACACCAAGAGAACTAAAATTTTATGGGTGAAATGGTGCAATGGGGTGACTTCTCTTCCACCCCAATGCCTTCTCTTCCTTCTCCTCATCATCCAGGAGCCTTCTACATACACACCTCAAAGTAAGTGAACTTTTCTACCATTTTTGTTGAATTTAGGCAATTTTCGGTGAGCTGGAACCAATTACCCAAAAACACAATGGTTTCGGTTAACGAACGACCTTCTGGAACGGATTGAGTTCGTTAACCGAGGGGTCACTGTACAGTAAGCCCTTGATAACTTGGCACATATGGGGCTCTGGTCTTGCTGAATTATCCCAAATTCCGACTTAACGAGGCACTTTCCCCCCCTCCTACAAAAATACAACAATAAGAAATTAGACCCATTTATGTGTACATGTAATTACTAAATGTAAAACAGTAACACTTACCAGCACTGCAGACGAAGTTTGAAGTATCATAGTAGGTGACACAGAGGAATGGTAGATGATGCAGGTGGCCAGATATGCCAAGATTTTCCCAGATAATCCATTCTGAGACCATATCCATGCCAAGTTATATGAAATTCCGAGTTATCAAATGCCGAGTTATCGAGGGTTTACTGTACTTATTGATAATAGCATAGTGTATGCATGTACAGAGAACTGTTAGCGTTCTGAATCTCTGGGTTCATGAAGAGGCAGGTGAGGCGACAGGACTTTTGTTGGCTAGTGTACATATCAGTAGCTTATATGCTTGTAATTCAAACATCATCATTGTCATTATTATCAACAACACCACCATGATTATAGTCATCAGCCTCATCTTCATCATCATCCTATCCTGCACGTGGAGATGCTCCGTTGTCTTCTTCTTGTAGTATGTACAGTCCTGGTCGAAAGTTCTTGATCCAGCTAAGGTGGAGGGTGTAGTGCCCCCGTTACTGGATGGCGGGAAGCTGTTCGTCCATTGCCCCCACCACACAATCAAGCACCCAAACATTTCAACATTTAGCTCTGATACTTCCATTTCTCAATAAGGACTGGGAAAGGATGTCATTGTTTTGTTTAATAAATTTACGAAACAATTTACCCAATGAAGTTTTACATTATATGACATAATGGGTTAGATCATGACATAGTGGAGAGAGTGTGTCTTGGTGGCTGGGGTACACAGAATGGTAGCCAGAAAATTAAGCATGAATGTGAGGAATAATATGGTTCATAAGAGAATGCTTTATCACCTTCCATGATAATGGCATTATCATAGGGTCTAATGCATGTAACTATGGCTTGATCCCTACAATGGATGACATGATGGGAATATGGCTGAAATATAAGCGACATTATTAACATAAAAGTGTGTCACAGCTAGAAGTAGGTCACAACACCATTGATTAGGGTTGGATGGAAAATAAGGTAAAAGCAGTATGACCATATCTTATTATTGGTTATACTCATATAGGTAACCAGAAATGTTGCCTAGCTAATGGTGTATACACTCAATATCTTTGTAAGCATTTACAGCTAAGAAGGGTAAAGGAATGATTCAAACAATCTACTGTATTCTTTAGATCAGGGGTCGGCAACCTTTTGAACACACTGCCAGTTTTTAAAATTTCTACTGCCCTGCGTGTCAACTATAATTTTCAATATGCAAATTATTGTCATGTGTATATTGATAAATAATGCTTTCATACATATTTGAAATACACACAATTACATATGAATGGTAAGATATATAATGAAATACTATAAAATGGTCTCACCATTTTAGTGTGATCCCTGTCCCTGCTTCCCCTTGCTCATCGTTGCTATGTCGGGAGTATATCTGGACACCTTAAGTTGCACACACCCCTCGGAGTGATCAGTTGTAAGTCGGTTGCGATGAGGATTGAGGATACAGTATTCTTCATGTGTGAAAATATCTGCTCACATAGATATGTCGGTCCAAAGGTTGAAAGCAATGCGAAGGCAACCTTCTTCATGCAATCAAATTTCTCTGGTAGGGATGCCCAGCAGCTTAGGATGGAGGCCTCATGATCACTCACAGTCGTTTCAAGTGATTTACGTAGTTCCGTGAATTTTACTACCCATAATGAAGACGACTTAAAATCGATCAGCTGCATCTCCAGGTCCCCAATTTCCATCCACTCAAATAAAGACAAGTCCAAGTCACTCTCCTCAAAGTTTTCAGGTTTAATTAAAAACATTGGGCCAATGTGCTGGAAATCTTGAAATCTGACAGAGAACTCTGACTTCAGTTCTTGCATGTACAATTGTATACTGCAATCTCTGTAATGTTCACAGGATGATGTGCTGACCACCCTTTCAGGCGCTTGAAGTAGAGGAAAGTTGTAGTTTCAATATCCACCAAGTAAACTGCCAACTTTGCAACAAAAGCCTTCCAAGTGTCATACAGAACCACAACTGTTTGTCCTGCACTCTGCAGGCGAAGATTAAGGTCAAAGAGGTGTTTGGTGATGTCTGAGAGAAACATAAGTTTGACTGCCCATTGATCATCTTCCAGTTTGGGGTATTTTTGGCCCTTTTCTTTCAGAAAGATCTTGATTTCATCAAAGCATTCCACGGACCGCTCTAAAACCTTCCCACAACTTAACCACCTGACACTGGAGTAAAGGGGTATGTCTCCATATGAACTATTCATCTCATCAAGAAAAGATTAGAATTGTCTGTGCGTAAGAGCAGATCGTGCAACCCAAAAATTCAAAATTTTTGTCACGGGGGCCATTACTTTATTGAGATCAAAGTTTGAAATTCTGGCAAAAAAAGATTTTCTTGATGAATAATGCAGTGTAACTTCAGGATGGGATGCCCGATTTTATCTTCAATTAGCTTGACAAATCCCCTGTGTTTTCCTACCATAGCAAGAGCGTCATCCATTGTAACTGCAAATATATTTTTAATATCAACCCCTCTCTCCTCAAAATTATTAACGAATGTTTTAACAATGTCATCTACCTTGGTAGTACCATGCATAGGTCTTAAGCAGCACAGCTCCTCCATGTCACTGTACCTGGCGACAATAGCCAAATGTGGTATGTCATTTATATCAACACTCATCAACAGCATTACTGAACACAGTTGCATTTGTTAATGCAACAATCTGTTGTTCTCTTATATCTGCAGCCATGTCTGAGATGCACCTCTCTACAGTCCTGGCTGCAACAGGCATGTCTTTTATCCTTGAGATGATTGTGTGTTTGCTTGGTAAATAAAACTTGAGAGCTTTTGAGAAAGGCCTCTTTTATAGAATCCCCATCAATAAATGTTTTTCCATGTTTAACAATACACTGAGAAACTTTGTAGCTGGCCTCAGTTGCATGATTTTTTTTGGCACAGATTCTTCATAACACTGCTTTGTTTTTCATTGCGGGATACTGCCTTCTTAATAGCTTAAGCCTTGTCTGCATTGTCCTTAAATGTCTTCTCATGCTTCATTTCATAATGTCTCTTTACACTTGATGTCCGGCAAACAACATTCTCACAACACAGAGCACACACAGCTCGACCATTCTTAAGAGTAAATCCAAAGTCTTTTGTCAAAGAGGGTTGAAACGATCGAACATCTAATTTGGCTTTCTTGGCAGCTGCCATTGGGGCTACTTAATTATGAGTAGCTTCTGTCACTGTGGCTGAAAGTACACTGACCGTGCCTGACGTCTGAGTAACC